GTAACATCTGGGGAAAGAAGAGCAGAAATAACAAAAGTAATGATACAAATGACTTTTGTTTTTTCCTGGTAGTTTTAGGTTTTCCATTTTCCAGAGACAGAAGTGAATTGGGATAAATCTCAGAAATACTGTGAAACCGATTGTTGAGGGAACAGTGCTCTGTGTCTTTTCTCCTTAATTGCAGCAGCAGTCCACCCGATCTGAACTGTTCAGTACAATGCCTGTTATCTCTGTATTTTTATCTTGGTTGTATGAAAGACTGGTGTTTGGGACAAATGAGCTCTGTGGCTTTGGGGGAAGGTTACGCAAGTTTGTCGTCTGCTGAGCTGACACTGGCTGTAGCTCGACAGATTTAAGTCTGCAGCAAGTGAAATGGATTGCCATATTTATGGACAGATGCTGTGACCAGATTCTGTAATAAGAAAAGGAAACAGAACTTGAATCTGCATGTATCGCTTTTCTTATTTTTAAAGACAGGGGTGGAAAAATTCTTATAAAAAGATTGTGTGACTCAAAATTTCACAATTTTCTTTAAAAATTATTTTGAGGAAATAAAATTTTCCCATGTTCCTAATCTTGAACTAAAATTGCTTAAGCTTAATGCCAGAGAACCAAAGGGGGAAAATAAGAAAGAAGTGAAACAGATGAGGCAAGTAATCAACCCCAGTCCAGAAACTTTCGGACTAATTAAAGAAAAGGTTTAAAAGGAATCCATTTCAGTGTTTTAATCATATTTGTTCTAATAAATGCAGAGATGATTTAAAGTCTTATTTAAAGTCAGTGCTTTACATTAGTATGATGGGATGTTGACTCAGACATAGACTTTGTGTTTCTGTAAAGATACGTATGTGGGCCTGTTGAAACCTCAGCTGCACTACTGAAATTTCCTACATGCTCATGTTGCCAGTATTTTTAGTAAAATTAAATATTTTTATGGAGTAGGTCTGTAGCTATCTCAAGGAACAAGCTGAATAAAAATAATGCAGACATTGTCAGACAGTCCTGAAAGGACATGGCTTTCTTTTTTTTTTTTCTTGAGATTGAGTCTTTTTATTTTTATTTTTATTTATTTAATTATTTATTTGAGACGGAGTTTCGCTCTTGTTACCCAGGCTGGAGTGCAATGGCGCCATCTCGGCTCACCGCAACCTCCGCCTCCTGGGTTCAGGCAATTCTCCTGCCTTAGCCTCCTGAGTAGCTGGGGATTACAGGCATGCACCACCATGCCCAGCTAATGTTTCGTATTTTTAGTAGAGACGGGGTTTCACCATGTTGACCAGGATGGTCTTGATCTCTCAACCTCGTGACCCACCCACCTCGGTCTCCCAAAGTGCTGGGATTACAGGCTTGAGCCACCGCGCCCGGCCGAGATTTAGTCTTGCTCTGTCGCTCAGGCTGGAGTGCAGTGGCATGATCTCGACTCACTGCAACCTCTGCCTTCCAGGATTCAAGCAGTTCTCTGCTTCAGCCACCCCCTGCCCCCGGTACCTGGGATTACAGGCACCTGCCACTGCACCAAACTAATTTTTGTATTTTCAGTAGAAATGGGGTTTCACCATCCTGGCCAGGCTGGTCTTGAACTCCTGACCTTGTGATCTACCTGCCTCAGTCTCCCAAAGTGCTGGGATTACAGGCATGAGCCACTTTGTCCAGTCAAGATCATGGCTTTTTAAAAACTGCTTTATTGAGATATGATTGGTATGTAAAAAGCTGTGCATATTTGAGTTTGGGAATAAGTATAGGCCACTACCATCAACTATCATCAACATCATAACACATTTATCACTCCCAATGTTTCCTCACGCCCCCATATAACATAGGAATGATGATTATTCTTATGATTTGATTTTTTAAAACCTGAATTTTGAGTGGGTAAAGAAAATAATCAGGTAGTTAGTTGGTTTCATTGATTGGAATGTAAAGGATTCTTTTTGTGGGATGGCAGACAAGACCCACTCTTAAAAATACACATGTACATTCTTTTATTCTGTTGCCTTTCCTGGCGTTTAAATCATCAGGACTGATGAAAGCGGTAATGATGGGGACTGACTGCACATCTGGAAAGTAATTTGGGACGATGTAAAAGCAGCTGTGCCACCCTCTTCTAAATTACTATCCGGAGTGTGAAGTGGCTATTAGTGGCTATTACGGCATGTTGTAGGGTGTGAAACGCTGGCTTTCTTTGGCCTGAGTTGAGTTGAACAGCTGCTCTTTTCCTGGGGAGCAACAAATATATTTTTCAGGTCTCCAAATTATTGGGGGAGTTTCGAGTGATTGAGAATGGGATAGAGAATTTCACTCGTGGGGAAGACAAAGTTTGATCAGCAGCTTGCAAAGTTTAGAACCCGAGTATAGAGTTGGCTTGTTGGTTTTACTGGCTTGTTGGTTTTACGATACTGTGAAATAAAGAGTTGGTCTTAATCTTTTTTTTCTGGCAAACAACTCCTAAAACCCTTTAATTGCTGAAGTGATAAGTGTCTTTTTGGTATGCTAATGATTGACTGATGGCTAGCCACTCTGGGTAGCTTCAGAATGGGGCTGGTCACAGGAAAGATCCAGGCTGGATTAGAGGGTTGGGGCTTTCAGTCCCACCTCCCAACCTAAGGGAAGGGGAGAGGAGCTGAAAGCTGAGCTGATAGTCAATGGCCTTTGATTTAATCAATCATGCCTACATTATGAAGCTTCCGTAAGAACTCCAAAAAGACTGAGTTCTGGGAGCTTCATGTGGAGGTTTGCATAGGGTGGAGCATCTGGAGAGGGCAGGGAAGCTCTAACTCTCTTCCCTTATATTCCGCCCTGTGCATCTGTTCATCTGGTGTTAGTAGGTATCCTTTGTGAATTCCTTTAAAATAAGTCGGTAAATGTAAGTGTGGTGTTTCTTCAAGTTTTCTGAGCCACTCTAGCAAATTAATTGAGCCCAAAAAGGGGGTCGTGGAAACCCCTATGTGTAGCTAGTAAAACAACCTGGAGCTTGCTTCTGGCATCAGAAGTGAAGAGCAGTCTTGTGGGACTGAGCCTTCAATCTGTGGGATATGAGGCAGTCTCCAGTCTGGTAGTGTCGGATTTGCACTGGAAGACACCCAGCTGGTGTTCGCTGCAGAACTTCCTGCTTCTTTGGAGGGTGGAGGGAGGGGACCCAACTCTCCTCCCCAACCACGTCTGGTATCAAAAGTCATCTCTGTGTAAGGCGTAGAACACATTGAGTTTGGTTTTTCCACATCTTCAGAATGTTCTTAGGATATGTAAGAGAGAAGAGAAAAAGGGGAAGAAAGCAGTTTGGACAAAGCTTTATAAATAATTGTATGAACAGTACACAAATAATTTTTTTCCAGTGGTCTTGGTTAGTCTAAGAGATGGTTGGTTGTGGTAAGTAGGATGGTTCACAAACGTGAAAGTTGTTGTTTAAGAAAGAAACCAGTATTCCATGTTGGAATACACCTCTGTGTGAGAGACAGAGAGAGTGATGGATTTCTATTCCAGAACAGCAAGCCTCAGGCTAGTGTGTAAGCTGTAACACCCTTAACAAGGTCACTTGGGCACTGGGAGACATAGACTTTCTTTCTTTTCTTTTTTTTTTCCATAACAGTTTTATTGAGATACAATTCGTATCTTACCTTTAAAATGTACAACTCAGTGGATTTGCGTATATTCAGAGTTGTGCAACCTACACCACAAGCTAACTGTAGGATATTTTCATCACCCTGAATAGAAACCCTACACCCATTAGCAGTTATGCCAGTCCACCTACAGCCAGCCTAGGCAACCACTAATCTTTCTGCCTATTCTGGACGTTTCATATAGATGGAATCATGTGATCTTTTGTGACTGGCTTCTTTCACTTAACATTTTCACGTTTTGTCCAGTGTTAGCATAGATCAGTCCTTTGTTTCTTTTTACTGCCAAATAATGGTTATGGGCCTAGGGGTAGAATTGCTAAATCATACAGCAGCTCTCTTTCATCTTTTGAGGAACTGACAGTCTGTTTCCTGACGTGGCTGCACCATTTGACATTCCCACCAGGAGTGTATGAGGGTTCCAATTTCTGCTTATCTTCACCAACTCTTGTTATTATTTCTCTTTTTAATTATAGCCAATCTAGTGAATGTGAAGTGATATCTCATAGTTTTTTTTTTTTTTTGGAGATGGAGTCTCACTCTGTCAGCAGGCTGGAATGCAGTGGCATGATGTCAGCTCACTGTAACCTCTGCTTCCTGGGTTCAAGTGATTTTCCTGCCTCAGTCTCCAGAGTAGCTGGTTCTCTAGGCATGCACCACAATGCCACACTAATTTTTGTGTTTTTAGTAGAGATGAGGTTTTACCATGTTGGCCAGGCTGGTCTCGAACTCCTGACTTCAGTGATCCACTTACCTCGGCCTCCTAAAGTACTGGGATGACAAGCGTGGGCCACTGAACCCCGCCTGATCCACACTTCCCTAATGATTATATCCATCTTTTTTTTTTTTTTTTTTTTTTGAGACAGAGTTTCGCTCTTGTCACCCAGGCTGGAGTGCAATGGCCCGATCTCACCGCAACCTCCGCCTCCTGGGTTCAGGCAATTCTCCTGCCTCCGCCTCCTGAGTAGCTGGGATTACAGGCACACGCCACCACGCCCAGCTAATTTTTTGTATTTTTAGTAGAGACGGGGTTTCACCATGTTGACCAGGATGGTCTCGATCTCTTGACCTCGTGATCCACCCGCCTCGGCCTCCCAAAGTGCTGGGATTACAGGCTTGAGCCACCGCGCCCGGCTATATCCAGCATCTTTTCATGTGCCAACTGGCCATTCATTAGTGGTTTTTGCTTCTTTAAAAAACTGCTGAGACATCCATAAACATTTTCAAAATGCAGAGTATGTTTTTCAGTGTTAAGGCAACTGTTTTGATGTATTTTCCTTTGCTCTCTATCACCAAATACTGCACATACAAATAGTAAGACTGGGCTTTGTGCTGTCCATCATTAATCCTAAATGCAACAAAACACACGGAGACTTTGAAAATCCTTCAGAATAATGCTATAGATTTTGCTAAAGCAAGTGTTTTTTCAAACTCCTTGAGCTGCATATTGCCTTGAGTAATCACCACCCGGGTTGTGCCCTCTTCGGTGGCACTTTGGTTTCTTCTGAATTCTTCCCTTGCCCAATCCTTCTGTTTTTTGTGATCAGAATCATTTGGAATTTGCCCAATTGTTTGCAAAATCCTTCTGTAGAGAAGAACTTGTTGCCTTCTTATGAACTGCTTTAATGTTAGCGTGGTTGAGGGTAAGCGGGAGGCCATGACCACCAGCGGTCCGCCAGAGCCTCAGCGCCCACGTGGACTTTCTATTTGGTCAAAGTGGCAGGTGTGTTTTGTTTCCTGGCTGGATGAAGTCAGAAGTTTCTGGATGAGGATAGCATCACATTCCTGAGAGACCAAGACAACTCTGAAGACCCCAGGATCTTCCAGGGGCCCTGGTTGTGATAGGGATCAGGTCTCTAACTCATAAAAATGTGTCTTCAGGTAAAGTTGCTCCCCTCTGCCCTTGAACTCACACATGGAAGGGAGCTCCTTTGTGTTTCTCAGTCTCTGCTGGGAAAAGGAGCTAAGAAACTAGGAGAGGCTCCGTGGTGAACAGGGATGGTGAGCACTTTGTTTCTTTGAAGTGTCAGCAAACTTCTCTAGGTAAATCAGGGTGGATGTCCTGGTGCTGAAGGTAGCCCAGCTCCGTCTGTCCTGGGAACTGCCTGGGTGTTTGCTTTTTTTTTGGTTTGAGATGGAGTTCTGCCTTGTTGCCCCAGCCCAGGCTGGATTGCAGTGGCACGATCTCTGCTCACTGCAGCCTTCGCCTCCCGGGCTCGAGAGATTCTTCTGCCTCAACCTCCTGAGTAGCTGGGATTACAGGCACCCACCAACACGCTGGGCTAATTTTTGTATTTTTAGTAGAGACGGGGTTTCACCATGTTGACCAGGCTGGTTTCAAACTCCTGACCCCAAATGATCTGCCTGCCTCAGCCTCCCAGCGTGCTGGGATTATAGGTGTGAGCCACTGCACCTGGCCCAGGTGCTTTCTTCGATAGCTGAGGCAGCTGTGGCATCCAGCCCTTGTCTCCCAGGGCCTGGCGCTTTGCTCTCCTAGTCGCGGCTGTCAGGAGCCGATGGTCAGAAGCCATTCCCTGCTGCCCTCCTTCTCTCCTCAAGTTTCCTCCAGGAGTTCTCTCAGGTCTCCTGCGGGCGTGTGTTGATGGGGTTAAGGGGGAGCATGGGAGAAGACCTGCTTTGTGGCTCCTGGAGAAGCTGCTCGTTGCTCTCTGGGTCCTTGGAGGCCTCTACGGCATGCAGGTGAAGGGAACTGAGGGCTGGGATGTTTGGGGTTTATACTGTAGGTTGGGTGATGGGCATGGAAAGCTCTAAGCAGGGGGACTCGGTCAGATTTGTGAGCAAGGTCATTGGGGTGGCAGGTTGGGCAAGGTTGGGCCATTGGGAGGCCAGAGATGGAGCTGGTCGAGTTGTGACCCCAGGACATGTGTGGTTGAGTAGCGATGAGTCGGGGATCCTCAGGATCCTAATATCAGTTTATCGTCGTATTTCAGGAACCCCACCTAAGACATTCTGTCCTGGCTCCCTCTTCTCCCAAGACAGAGTCTGCGCTTTTATTTTGTTTTTGAGACAGTCTCACTCTGTCTTCCAAGCTGAAGTACAGTGGTGTGATCTTAGCCCACTGCAACTTCTGCCTCCTGAGTTCAAGCGATTCTCGTGCCTCAGCCTCCTGAGTAGTTGGGATTACAGGTGTGCACCACCATGCCCGGCTAGTTTTTGTATTTTTAGTAGAGATGGCGTTTCACCATGTTGGCCAGAATGGTCTCAAACTCCTGGTCTCAGGTGATCCACCCCCCTCGGCCTCCCAGAGTGCTGGGATTACAGGCATGAGCCACCAAGCCAGGCCCCGATTCTGTTTTCAGGCAGTTTCCTCTCCTGGAGGCAGTACTGCGGAGGCTGGGAGGCTGAGCACCACGGTGCATGTTCTCAGAGGGGCAGCAGCAGATTCTGTCTTGACCTTTGTTATTTTTCTGCTGGACACTTGAAAATAGACATTTGAAGAGGAGGGGGTCTCCCACCTTGCCTGCCGTGTCAGTCCTGGCTGTCGACTCAGACAGACAAGACTGACCATAGTGAAGGAGTAACTTTTGTCCAGACACATTTCTTACTGGCCTTAGAAGAGTCCTTCCTGCCTCCACACTGTGCTAGGAACTCTAAGACAATCAGCTCAAATGCAGAACATGTTATTGGTGGAGAAGCAAGGAGTTCGTTGTTTTTTGTTTGTTTGGTTTTTTTTTTTTTTTTTTTGAGATGGAATCTTGCTGTGTCGCCCAGGCTGGAGTACAGTGGCGCTATCTCGGCTCACTGCAACCTCCACCTCCCGGGTTCAAGCTATTCTCCTGCCTCAGCCTCCCGAGTAGCTGGGACTACAGACATGTGCCACCATGCCCGGGGAATTTCTATATTTTTAGTAAAGACAGGGTTCACCATGTTGGTCAGTCTGGTCTCAAACTCCTGACCTCGTAATCTGACAACCTTGGCCTCCCAAAGTGCTAGGATTACAGGCGTGAGCCACTGCGCCTGGCCAGCAGGGAGCTTTTTTCTAAAGCATCATTTTTTCCCATTTCTGTTTCTCCTGTCCCTCAGTTCTGTAAAATCAGTGAATGTAGATGTAGGGTAGAGATGATCCTTGGTCTGCCCCAGACTTCCTCACCAGGGTGTAGGTCTTTGACCGAAAGGCTTTGGGAGAAATCCAACTGCCAAACCCCGCTTGCATCTAAGCCTACTTTAGGCGTGTAAACCGTGTGTTGCAGTGTTAGGCGTGTGTTGCTATGGGCAGCGCACCAACATTAAATAACCAAAGGGGTTGGCAAGTAGTCTATAGAATGGAAAATGTGCGTGTGGTTTTAGGAGCTCTAAAAGTTGGAGTTTCCTCATTTGTCTTGGTAAAGTTTTATTTATACCAAAGAGCAGACATGTTGAGAGGTTAAGATAAAAAGAGCCAAGGAGAGGGAGAGGTCTTTCTGAATGAATGAATTGATAGAAGAAATGGCATAACTTACAAATGTACAGAGCATTTCTGTCATCCTCCCTCTATGTTCAGATGTGTACCTAAAACTCCATTGCTCTAAAGGAAGACTATAGTGTGGAACACAGTCTGGCAGTGATTTTTTAACACTTATATGCCGGGTGGACTACACGAGCCAGCTAAGATCTAAGTGCGTCACACGTGTTATTCCAGTAGTCCTCACTGAAGTAGGTGCTGTGATTATTCCAGTGTTCCTCGGGGGCTAAGATATGTGCCTTAGGCCACTTAAGCAGTACCGGGCGCAGTGAAGCTGGGTAGAAACTCAGAATGAGCTCTAGAGCAATTACATGGCACTTGCCTTGCGAAAAAAACAAGTGACATGTTTACTCATTTATGCAGGTGAATTTGTAACATGTACTCTTGCACCTGGACTTGGAATGCCTAATGAATAATAAGTCTAATGAAGAATATGAATACTGATGACCATAATAATAATAATGAATATTAATGAACACTAATGACTAATGAATAAAAAGTTTTTCCACTGTTCTGAGGGTCTCCTGAGAGGCGCAGTGAGATTTGTCTCAGATGCAATCCTCCTTTGGTTCCTGAATTCTCAGGCTCCTATCAGAATCCCTGGGAGGGGTCCTAACATCTGTCTCTTTTATGGGCTCCCCAGGAGGTGGTAGTGTAGGCCAGGGGCCACACTGGCATTAGGGGCCTTTTCCTCACACTGCATCTTTACCGAAGGTGCTTCCTTGGGGTTTTCTCTTTTAGCTCTGCTAGGCAGGTAGAGAGATGGGGGTTGAAGACGGCACCAGCCGTCCCAGATTGGAGAGCTGGCCTCTCTGCTTCTTAGTCCTGGGATTCATGGCTTTACTTCTTTGAGCTGCTGTTTACCCATCAATACAAGTCAGGGAAGAAACAGGTCCCTCTCAGAGGGCCGTCCTGAGGAGTAGGAGATCTTGTATGTAAAATAAGCTGGCACTGATGTTGCCTACTTACATGCCAGCCATTATTACCGTAAACTCTGCATAGAGGGAGGTCCGATGGCTGTGGGCTTTTCCAGGGTGAACTGACCTGATCGCCTTCGGGTTTCTACCCTTTCAGGACGGTTCACTGGGAAACATCGATGACCTGGCGCAGCAGTATGCAGATTATTATAACACCTGTTTCTCCGACGTGTGCGAGAGGATGGAGGAGCTGCGGAAACGGCGGGTTTCCCAAGACCTGGAAGTGGTGAGTGGGGGCCCTGGGGAGGTGCTTCTGTGAGCCGGGCTGCTCTGCTTTGGGCTTATCCCTGGTCCTTCTCCCGGTGCTCGAAGTTCCTGGGGTGTCAATCGGTAGGCTGCCGCACTCGTGTCGGGTAAAGAGTTCAGATCCCTAAAGGACTGACCCAGTTCTGCTGCAGATATCAAACTGAGTGAGTGTTGGCTGGGGCAATAGGATGGAACCTTTGCATTCGTTGAAAGAATAGATTTTTATTTTATTTTTTTAACTCAAGGGAGAAGTATGCTTTTTACTATTCACCAGTGTATACTATATTTTTTAGTGACTCTAAGCCCAAAGGGTGTCTAGGCTAGTTCCCCCCACCCCCATTAATGTTTCCTTTTTCTTTTCTCTTTTTTCTTTTCTTTCTTTGGAAAGCAAGATAAAATTTAAAGGAACAATAAATCACCTGTAGTCACTCACCTAGCAATCACCACGTTGGCATTTTAGGCAGTATCCTTTCAGTGTTTTTGTGGGCATTTAAAAATCCGCAAAACCAGTCCACTATGCAAGATACTTTTGTAAAAAAAAAATCAGCAAAACAATTCTGTATCTATATATTTTTAAAAATCGCTTCTTCCTTTATTACTTAACTTTTTATTATAGCTCATATTCCCTGTCCTTGAGGCTTCTTTGCCATTACCATCTTTCATGGCTATATTCTCCTCTCGCTCAGGTGCATTGAAATAAATTTGGCTGCTTGTGAAAACGTTTATGTGTATAATCAGTGGCACATTTGGACTTGTATGTGATAAACAGTAACTAAATAACGTAGTGCTATATATATAATTTATATGTGTACTAGTAGCTGAAAATTGTATATTTGTTATAAAATATCATACTGAAGCTTCTGCATTTATCAGCTTAAATATCTTACTGTTGGATTTATTTTAGTTTCATGCCTTTCAAATAGTTTTGTTTCATTATGCCAACCTTAGGACGTCCTTAAGTAGTGGGGTTGAGG